TTCAGTATCGGTGAGGTTATCAACAAAGAATCAGGGCATTTAATTAAAACAGATACATTACGTAAAGTTATTAATAATGTTAAAATTCAGATAGGACAGCCTTTAACTAATCCGTCATATACCACCGTAAGTGACTTTTACATTAACCAATGGCTAGGTCGTCATATCTCGTTAAAACTTAACATTGAAGATATGCCTGGGATGTACATTATTCCAAATACCTTCAAAAGCTACGAATTGCCTCAAGAAACCACAGATATTATTGCCATTCTTGAATCAGAAAAAGAGTTCGATGATTTATGTGCTGAATTTGACAATTACAATATTCATTGGTTTGTGGGCACAAACAAGAATTCTAATTCTATAGTGTGGAAGAAAACAAGAGGAAAATTAGAGAGACTGCTGAAATATATTGACAGAGATTTTGAGGAAAATGGTTCATCAAATCAACCAATTCAACCACAAACGTTAAAAGATATTGCAGAAAAAGTAGTTGTTATCAATGCCGAACCGGGTATGGGTAAATCTACATTTTTAACACATCTAGCAATCCAAACTAAACTTAAGTACCCAAATCTTTGGATATCAAAAATTAATTTATCAGATCACGTTGACCAGTTTAGCCAATGGAAACAAAACAAAAAGGACGTTAACATGGAAGAAGTTGTCAAGTTTCTATACAAAATTTTTCTGAATAAGGTTGATGATGGAACTACTAAAAGAAAATATGATTGGGATCAGGTTTTTTGTGATAATATTCTCGTGGATGCTAGTAATAAAATATGCTTCCAACCTTCTGATAATGAGAAAGAATTAGTTGACCTTGATTTACTAGAAATAAACTTATTTAATCACTTCTATAATAATAATCAAGTTGCATTGCTTTTTGATGGTTTTGACGAAATATGCCCAGACTACGCAGATGAAGTTTTACATATGCTACGCATTCTTAAATCGTCAAATGTAGCTCATTTGTGGGTTACTTCAAGATCATATAACGTTCTTGAACAGTTGGAGAGTGTTCTGGGCACATTTTCTTTTACGCTTTTACCTTTAGGAAGAGCAGAACAACTCTCATTTTTGGAAAAAATATGGTCAGTTAAATTGGCACTCTGGGATGCACAACATAATGTGAAAAATAGTGTGTCGTATTTTTATAACATAATAAATATAACTCTTAATTTATCGTCGTTTACGAATTCGCCTCTCAATCTTTATATGGTTTCCGAAATCTTCAAAGATTTCTTCAGATACTTTTATGATCCAATGGTTAAGAAATTCTCAAATTTTTATATGCAAAAAGTTATGGAAACTTTCAATTTAATTTTTCTATACGAAACTTTCGTTGAAATGAAGTTTTTCAAAATCCGTTTCGGAGAAAAGAAGCACTTTATGTGCTTCAAGGACCCTGCCATGAGGAGGATGGTAGAAAACGAAAGGAAAACGTTTTTAGACATTCACAAAAAGGTCGGCGCTTATTACATTTTATCTAAAACTGTAGTAGCTGATTTGTTTACGGAAGAAGAAATAAATGAAGTTCATGAATTTATTGAAAGTGTAAAGACTGGTGAGGAGAAATCAGGAATAATTCAACGGATAGTGGGAGACAAACCTCAATTCATACATAAATCTTTCGCTGAATATTTTGCAACGGAATATATTTTTGAAAAGTTTCAATCTGATTCGTGTCCAGTGGCTTTACAAAAGTACGTTATTAACTTGATTTTTATAACAGACAATGGAGGTGTTAGAAGGTTTATCAACAATAAGTTGATAAAAGGCAAGAAGCTATTTGACTTGTCTACAGGGACGTCTTATATCTGTTCAGTATTTGGGTCGTTGGTGACACAGAACTTTTTGCCTACGAACTCATTTTTTGTGGCTGGTGAAGAATATCTAAGGCACATTGGAATGTTTATGTTAATTTGTGGAAGTTCTTCTCGTGATTACAGGAACATGAGTAGATATTGTAAACTGTTTCAAGTTAAATGTTCAGCTCAATGCGATCTTTGTACTAAGAAGTTGCAATCATTACACACAAATTTAAGAGTGAGTACAAACACACTGTTTGTTGACAAGTCATATAGAAAATAATATTAGCATTTTTAAGTTGGGATGAATCTCTGTAACATAGTATAAACTATAGAGCTATTGATTACGTAGACTTACTTAAAACTAGAAATAAGACAGCAAAATTATTAAAAACTATAATTTTATATTCATCTTTTATTAAACATATTCATTACATAGGTTATGTACAAACATTAGTATAAAAGAGGCAAGTAATGACTAGACAAACAATACTAATATGTCTCCAGTCTTTGACTGGTTTATGAAAACTCTAAACAATAGGAAAATGTATATTAAAGAACGCATTAAATTCAACTAAATTTAATTAATATTGGCTCCTTCGCATGCGACATCTTATTGTAAACCAATCACAAGAACGACGTTCGATTTTCGTATTGACAAATAATAATAATATAATAGAGGTACATATCGTACGACATCTGGGCAACGTTATCGTTTGATGAACATGTTCGTTTTGCTCTCGTCCTACAGAGAGCTGAGTACAAATTTATATTACGCTGTTCAACGAGATCGAACCTTCGGCGTTCTGATTAGTTAGTTCTTTGGAACAGGCCAATAAGAGAACCGTATCATGGTCATCTGGAGGTTTAATACATAAGAAGCGGGCGCTTCTTATGAATGACAGTGCGGTTTTAAAACCGACCAACAGCAAATACCAATGTAACTTTTTGCGAGTTATATGTACTTGGTTATTTAGACATAACTGAAACCTGGGCTTACAATTTCTAATCATAAGTTTGAAATCGCCAGCCCGCATTGAGCAAGCGTAGTGATTAATGTTCCAACCTTCTCCGTGTGAGAATAGGTTTTGCTCAGCAGTGGGCATTTATAGGCTGTTGATGTAATCAGAGCGCTTTGATTAGATACTTTAAACGTTAAACAAACTTGTACTAAGCCCTTCTTAAAGTCCGCTTTTGAAAAATCTGTTTATACAGAAGTAGTCCCTAAGAATCGGAAATACGGTCTATAATGGTGTACGTGGAGAGTAGTCACCGGTGACAGTTTGAGTTTGACCAGCCGACCCGATAAGTTTACAATACGTTTCATCCATTCGTACGTAAGCAATACGATGTTGTATGCGAAGTGGCTTAAAAAATTATAAGTAATTACTCAGGGCCTATGTACCGTAATATACTATGTAATAGGTATAAATATAGCACTGGTTAGATCTATTGAAAACTCAGTATTAACAAAAATAAAGGTGGTTCTCCTTTTCCGTATATGAATATATTTACCAAATCGTTCATTTTAAATTGTCTTGAACGAAATAAATTGAGTTCCATAAAAGCAAGTGTAGATAACAAAGTTTATACACGACCAGCTTCTGCTATAATCTACCTATGTTCCAAATTTCATTCTCAGTCATACAGCCGTTTTGAAGGAGGTACAAAATAAACAAACAAACATACATTGTATTTATAATATTACCTACTAGCAATTTCCGCGCGGTTTCACACGCTCTGCTCAGCTCCTATTAGTTGTAGAGTGATGTTTTATAGCCTATAGCCATCCTCGATAAATGCGCTATCCAACACAAAAATAATTATTCAAATCAGACTTGTAGTTACGGAGATAGCGCGTTCAAACAAACAAACAAAAAAATAAACTCTTCTGCTTTATATGTATAATAGTATAAGATTTATGGTATTTTAGAATATGGTACATAATCGTGTTTTAAGGCCCTGAATTAAGCCAAGGTCACGCTAGGGGACAGATGTCCTGCCACACGTGTCGGTAGCGACATTGGGCGAAGTACCGCGACGTTTCCGGACTTTGGTCGATATGGCTGGAAACATCAACGTCGCTGTGGACATAAGGCGCGTATTGTCGCCTTATAATACGTCGGGCGAAATGGCCAGGCTTCGCTTGACATGTCACCAATGCATGTCGTGGAACATTTGTCCTCAGGACACACCGCTATCGTATGCTCCACCGTGTCCTCCGGGCCGTCCTCGTAGTGATGATACCCGGGCGTTTCCTCCCGTCCAATCCAAAACAGGTACCTTTTGAAACTTACCGCCGCCGTAGCGTCTCTCAACTCACTCCTTAAAGAGGGGACTAACCGCTGCAATGATAGTGAGCCCAGTTCTTGGTTGCGACAGTCGTTGCTGCCATTTCGCCTTGAGATCGCGCCGGACCTCATCCCGCCACGCACTAATCTGAGAGTTTCGCCCCGACGCGCGACGTGTTTCCGCGCGCAAACAAAACACGCGCGCGAGCACCTTTGCCTCCAGATCCCACGGCGGTAATCCGGCAGACATATTTCGTCCCCTAGTGTATCCTTGGCTTTAGTTAATAACTTGCTAACAAAATAATGCTAACAGAAGAAGGATTTGAATCCAATTCATTAACCTTCAAGCGGGCGCGCGTAGTCGAATCGACCGCGGTTAATACATTTTCGTTCGTATTTTTATTTTTAGTTGTCACATGCATTTCTAATTTCTAGTAGCCTGTCACTATCTTTTTAGGAGTAAAATAAAAACTATTTCGTTGCTTGAAGCGATCTCTACACTCCACAAATTACAATTATTTAGGCTCTGGCGCAGTCGTTGAAAAGACTACACGCGCCTGTCGTCGAATAGGTTACGCGCGACGCCCAACGCGACATACACATGTCAATATTATCTAATTCAGCTTGGAGTTTTGGTGTTTTAAAGCATTTTTTGTTTAAATAAGTCGTTTATGGTTATCGCAAAGTACAGTAATCGAGGAATTACAAAGAGAAGACGAAGAAGAGAGTGAATCAGAGCTTAGCAACCAAGGCTCTGAAACTTCTCATCACATAGTTTTAGAAGAACATCTATCTGATGTGATATCATCCTTGTCGGATTTAGATGAGAATAATTTGTAGCTTTCGGTAATAAATAGCTGTTTTACAGGACGCGATAGAGTAACGAAGTAGCAAAATCTGAAAAATTACTAGAATACTGACTCAGACGAAAATAAAATCAAAATTAATGAGTTTTTACAGTTTTATCCTTACTTTTTATTTATTTTTTGGTCTACGTATATAAACCAACCTAACATATGTAAACGGGTCTTAATTTTTATTTTGATCCAAAGAATATTTGAGTTACTTTAGGTGACTTAATAATTGCTTCTTTTTCATAATTTTAATTACTTGTTGTGACAAATTTATCTTTAAAGACAATGATATTGTATCTTAGTACAAATTAATAAATGATTATCCCATAATTATTGCTTTCTTGGTCTTATTCATCCCATAGGTCTATTCGGTTACGCGCGCCCGCTCCCGTTACAAAAGACCGCGCGCCCGCTTGAAGGTTAATAAGTTTTATGTTAAACATAATTGTATTATGTACAATAATTACATAGTATGCAACTCGCTTATACTAACATTTTATTACAGCAAATAATTACGTTTTATTGTTGTTTAATCTAATATTAATTTCCAATCTATTTACAATGTACGGATATGTGATGACAGTTTTTAATAAAATGTAAAGAACAATAGGGATGATGAACAATTAGAGAGTCTTCTAATCATTAGACTTGTAGTGGCCCATTTGACCAACCACCACTAAAAGTAAGTAACTTTGAGTTTAGAGATGGTTTGGGGTCACGTAACGCAGACTAGCACCTAAACGAACTGCTTACTTGTATTGTTAGGTGTCACTTGGTTGGTTCTTAGCTAAAATGCAATCTTAGCGTGTGAACTTAAATTGTGACGTCATAGATGTTTTACATCGCATTGTTGTAAGTTAATTGACGCGAAAAATAATAAAAGAAAACTAAGGACTAATTAGTAATGGAAGTATTTATAGAACTTGTATACATTTTTGAGAGAAAATTAATAGTTTTGGCGAGTCATCATCCCTATTCATCCTTAATTTCAATTGATCATGAATGCAGAATTGATCACATTTCGCAATAAATTTAATTAACTTGTATAATAATAAATAAATATTAATTTAAGGGCTAATCTAGGAACATAATAATTTGGTCAACATCGTAAAATCAACCTTAAATTTAAACCAAAGCAACTTGTTACAGAATTACTCGTTGCTATTACATTTTTGTTAGGCACTAAAATATATTAATAACTGTACCGTGTTCTAGGTTTTTGTTAATAACAATAAATTGTAATAAAACTGATAAAATAAATATGTAGGTATGTCACGTTATCTATGTTTTGTTCTTTAATGTTATGGTGGCACGTGTTTTTCTGATTGTATGTAATTTTTGTCTATTGTTGTATTACACAAATACAGTCCAATCATTTTACTTCACAATTGTACCTAGTTACTTGATTGATTCAATTTATTCGGTTCAGGACATAAATTATACAAGTCGAAGTGACTTGTATAATGCATTACAATTCGATATGATACCTACAATTAGCCTTTTTCCTGGGGAGATTAAAAAAAAATCGCTAGGGGCACCACCGGTGGGGGTACACATCGACATAATATATCTACTAATGGACATGTCGTACGCGTATAATCTGCAGTAATTTTCTGGTTTGAAAAGAGTGAGAGAGATGGCCTATGCTTTCGGTCTAGTGCTTTCTCTTTCTCGCTCATAACTTCTTAACTACGGTACTATTTTAAGATAGACCGAAACTTCGTTTCCTCTCTTTCTTTCGGAGTGCCAAGTTTTTGTTATCACAATATTTATTTATTCTGATAGTAATAAAACGTATGTTTGATGTTGATGTCAATACAGCATTCAAAACATGTACCGTAAAAAAATCCACCGGTGCTTCCCCTAGCGGATTTCGTTTAAATCTTCTCAGGAAAAAGGCTAATTAATAAGTTTTGAAAAAGGAAGAATGTCTTGGAGTCTAATTTACAGATTACATAATATCTGCCCTGTACTTGGAATTTAGGTATTAAGTTGTTATTTTCAATATCTTTTACATTAACGTAAGCAAACAATGCCACAGCATGCAAAAAATCACATTCAATAGTTCTACGAATCATCATCACATAGAATTTTTCAAGGACACAGTTTCGTTTACACAAGATTAATCAATATTGAACTATCTCATTACGTTTTCAAGACCTAATTCAGACTAACACGAACGAAAATTATCGACAGGCAAGAAGAAGCTTTCAGTGCTACTGACATCTTTGCCATCAAAATTAGTTTCTAGAAGTTTAACACCGTTTTCGTTTTCACAACACTTTGGGAATGGTGCTAAGCCGTCCGTTTTATAGACAAAAGATTTGCTATAGTTCTCTTTGGACCTCTCCTGGTTGTTGTTAGCCGTGGACCTTAGGCCACGACTCCTTCCTCAGAGTTTTGAGGATCCATTGTTCAGGAGCCTGATGCTGCTCTCGCGGCCAACGCTTGTTCTGGAAACGGAGATATTATGTAAGTTAAATGCTATTTTTTTATTGGGGAATAAGGTACGATGAATAAATTGTTCGTATTAATTTTTTTTTTATAGCATAAGCCGGTAAACAAGCGACGGATCACCTGATGGTAAGCAATCGGCGTCGCCAATGGACACCTGGAACACCAGAGGCGTTACAAGTGCATTACCGGCCTTTTGGGGATTAGGAGTTTAAGGATCGTTGGGGATTCAGGAAGGGGAGGGTAATTGGGCCTCCGGTAACCTCACTCACACGACGAAACACAACGCAAGCATTGCTTCACGTCGGTTTTCTGTGAGGTCGTGGTATCACTCCGGTCGAGCCGGCCCATTCGTGCCGAAGCATGGTGCAAATTGATTGCAACCGACAATAATCTAATGATACAGGCTAACCACGTAGAAGTATTAGACTGCACAAATACTCTATAAACACTTACTGATTTACATAAAGGTAAAAAAAATATCCATAGTGAAACGGCTGCCTCGTTGGCCGAGTGTTCGCAAGTTCGACTGCCGGGCAAGCCTTCTCGGGTTCGATTCTCGGGTCGGGCAAAGTATTACTGAGTTTTAAAAAAAATCTTAGTAGTAGCATGGAGTCTGGAATTGTGCCCGGTATACGGCAATAGGCTCACCCCCTATTACATGGGACTCATAAGATAAATAGTGAAAAGTGGGTGTAACATTGTACAGTGGTACAATGTGCACCTCTGCCTACCCCTTCGGAGATAAAAGGCGTGATGTTATGTTATGTTATAAAAAAGAGGTCTTTTTTATGACATTTAAAATAAACTTACGTTCTTGGCACCATGCTGATGTTGGTTTTTCTGCTCGAGTGCAGTCTTCTTGATGTCGATAGAGACAAGGAACCTCTTGGACCGTGCGTAGAACTGCTTCGGCATAGGAGATACCTGAATATAGATGAGACGAATATTTAATCGAATCCATGAATAATGAAGCAGTATTTTTAAGTACTCATTATCTTTCAAAGACATAATGGGTCTAGTTAATAAGCATTTATTGAATACTAGCTTTTACCCGCGGCTTCGCTCGCGTCACAAAAGGATAAAAAGTAGCCTATGTGACATACCAATACGCACAGCGCCATCTATACCAATACTTTTGTTTTCCCTCGGGAATATCAGGGTAAAAAGTACCCTATTATTTAATACAGACTTCTAATTTTCCGTCTGCAAAAATTCAAAGCAATCGGTTTAGTTGATATGACGTGAAAACGGAACAAACAAACTCACTTTCCAATTTATAATATTAGTAAGGATTTAATAAGGAACTTATATACCTAATTTAAGCAAACTCCATTTTTGATAATCTTATTATTTCGTAGCGACCCTATTATCAAATATACAACAGCGCGAAACCGACAAATATAGAAATGTACGGAAAAACGTGTAAATATCTACTATAGACAAGGCATCCTTTAATATTACAGGCTAAACTAATCCTTTCGGTCACCGGAACACCGAAGACAATGCGAAAAATCCTTTTGGCGTCAGGAATGGTCAAACTTCCGCGTCATAGAATTCAAATACCTCGGACCTTGGACCGTAGGGGTCAAAATATTGAGAACAAAAGGAATTTCATGGGAACGCATATTTTTGATGCCTTCTTGAGACACGCATTAGAGACGAAATTGGCCTGCAATTTTTATTTATGCCATATTCGGTGAGAGGTAACCATTTATTATGTGTGATGTGGATTTATTATACCGATCTTAGAATGCATAATTAGTAAAAAATGCATAAGCTGTAAGAAACAGTCACTTAAATCTAAATGAAATCAGTAAAATTTGAGACGTCATGTCTAGCAAAATACCTATTTATATTAATAACCAGCTACTTCCGCGCGGTTTCACACGCTCTGCTCAGCTCCTATTCGTAGTAGCCTGATGTTTTATAGCCTATAGCCTTCCTCGATAAATGCGCTATTCAACACAAAAAGAATTATTCAAATCAGACTTGTAGTTACGGAGATTAGCGCATTCAAACAAATAAACAAAAAAACAAACTCTTCCGCTTTATATATTGTATAAGATATAAGATTTCGTCAAGGGCTACGGTAGACTCGATCGAAACATTACCTGAATAACAAAACATAAAAAATATCGATTTCTAGTCGACAACATATCTGTAAAATTCGGATTACAGAGATTATTTCGTATTATTAATTTATTTTAATGACACTGATAGACAAACCGCAGTCGCCATCTTGAGTAAACAATGAACGTTCCGTTTCATATTAGCTCTCAAATGCGCCTCGCCAATCAACACGTTGTCGCGTCAAAAAAGTATAAATTAACAAGAAATATGAATAATTTCATGCAAACGAAGTCGCGGGTAACAGCTAGTAATTATAAAATGTAGAAAACGTTTATTGGCATAAAGAAACATATTTGGAATTATCTGATAATCGCGTCGTCTGATGATGACGTTGTTCCATAACAACATGGACAGCCTATAAGTAGCCACTGCTGACCAAACCTCTTCTCACACGGCGAGGGTTTGAGCATTAATCACCAAGATTGCTCAATGCGGGTTGGCAATTTCAAACTTATAATTAGAAATTATAAGTTAAGGTTTCCTCGCGATCTTTTCCTTCACCGTTTGTTAGTAGTGTTTAAATAATCTTAGAAAATAGTTAGCCTTAAAATAATTAGTTTTACCTGTTAAAATGTTTCCTAAAGATACCACTGGTACAGTACAAGGCTATTGGGTTCACGCAGCTGTTGAGGAAGGATAGACAGAAGCCGATGATCCTTAGTGCATGCCACCAGCCATTGTAGTCTTCCTGCGCCGTTGGGCTGAAGAAAAAATAAAAAAACGTACAATTATAAAAATCGAAAACGCTTACGACTTGAAGGATGTTTTAAAATGGTTAGCTTATATTCCTTTTTTTATTACATATAAAAAAAATATGAATTTATCATATATCTATTCCACAGTGATTTAAAAAAATATTCAATTCGTCCATTCTTTGACACATCTATCCCTTTTATAGGCAAACGTCTTAAAGGACCTCTATTTATTGAAGTATGACGTCACGCACGTCAACAGTTCTTGTCTCGTCACGTCACGTCAATAGGTCACGTATCAAGTTACTGCTTCTGCGGCTGTGTCGAAGTAAGACACGTGAGGTTTCAACAAGGTAAGTACTTTAAGTAGGTACTTAAATACGTGACTTCTAGAGAGCCCTATTATGTTTGTCCATGTAGAAATAGGTTTATAGAAAATAAGTATTGTATATTTGTATTTTTTTGAAGATATTTGGGAGTGTGTTATGGTCGCCCATGGACACCTGGACCACCAGAGGCGTTACAAGTGTGTTACCGGCCTTTTGAGGATTAGGAGTTTGAGGATCGTTAGCGATTCAGGAATTGGGGTGATTGGGGAATAGGAGGGTAATTGGGCTTCCGGTAACCTATAAAAATATGTAGGATAAAACTACCGATAAAAATATGTAAAAAATATGTAGGATAAAACTACCGATAAAAATATGTAGGAATCATAGCAATTGGCGTTCCATAGTCTCTGCCTACCCCATGGGAGACAGGCATGAAGTTATGTATGTATTGATTGATTTCTCTTTCTTCTTATTTAGAATATAAATTTAAAATTTTTGTTCTTACGAGATAGAACTAGGGTGGAGTATCAACGGCTAGTCCAATCAGCTTAGTTGTCACAAGTTGACTAACTATTACCATGATATAAGCAAAAATTCTATTAGTCAAAGAGACTTTAAGCTACACTAACGCCTCTAGTGGTTAGAAAACGTATCATTGTACACTTACCAGTAGTAAAACCACATCATGAACACATGTGAAGGTAAAAAGCATGCAGCGAAGACTAAGACGAAGGCTAACACTGTGACTGCAACCTTTCTTCGTGCTCGCATCTGAAAAGTAACATAAAAACCGATTATTTATCTTATAAGTCAGTTGTAAGTTTTGCTGTAACATATTATCGCGTCAAGACTTAGTGTCGTGGGACGGGCACAGGATATTATAGGATGTTTTATTTTCAAATTGTTTAGTGTGGGATTGGAATGTCCTGTGATCATTCATTGCGAACGCGTCATTAATGTGCTCGCTTTAACTGGATTCAGAATAATATCTCCTTCAATGTGGATATTACATTAGGTAAATAAATGTCCCTGAATACTAAATACAAGGCAAAAAATCCTTCGGTTATTATTAATAATATAGAGGTATAAAAAATACTATAAGTTACCACAAGCAGTCATAGTTCATTGAAAAAGGATTTCACTAAATAAGGAGCAAGAAATCACTATAAATAATAAATATTCAAATACACCAATAACCCACCTGTCTCTGGGTTCCCTGCATTTCACCAGGTACGTTCTGTGTGCTAAGGACCAGGTGCCTCGCCATCAGGATGTAAAACAGAGCTATGACAGCCAGCGGCAAGGAGTAGTACACCAAAAACCGCATCAGGACAATCCCTCGAGGGTAACCCTCACCCCACTCCATTGGGTATGGGTAACATACTAAAAACTGAAATGGAGTGAAGAAAAATACGTTAGGTCGTGTGCAGATTCTGGTTACTGTAGGTTAAATTTTCTCAATGTATTTAAATTTTTATAGTTTTAAGTTTACTAGTTAGCGATGTTCCTATATGATGTAACGAGTATATGCTTATAAACATAGTTTCATTATTGTTGGTTTCATTAATACTGGATTCCTACAAAACCTTAGATAATTTTAACCGACTTCTTTGTAGATTCGACTATTATGTTAAAGAAAGGAGCACAAATAAATCATTACAAGGGATGTCCGTTTTGTTGGTGAAACTTAAACTGTCAAACACCAAGCGGTCACCGGTGACCGCAACCTATTGTTCTATAATTGTGTCTACAAAACCGGTACTCGACGAGTAAAGTACCTAACGGTGATTAAAGGATAACTTATTTTTTTGAGGTGGGAAAGTCATCCAATGACTTCTCCCGCCCGGGTGAGGTGGGAGGGAGTGTCAGACTCTTACTGACTAAAAACCACTCCGTTCCTACTTATGCACTTCGAGCCGGAGCCCGGGCAACCCGTTAAGTCTTCCGCGGCTCCGTATCGGCATCAGCCCTGTTGGGCCCCATCTGGTGAGGTCTGATAGCTCCTTGAGGCGGAATGTCTCTCGCGACGGCCGGGGAGTGAGGAGGTTTGTTCCCTCACGCGTTTCGAATCCTCCTTAGCTAGCATGACTGCTTCGCAGAAGGAGGAGACGGCATCCCAGTCCCCCTCGCTCCGTACCATGGTCTGAACCAGAGCCGGACGCGAGAGGTCGCCGTCACCGATCACATCCCTGAGGACACGGCGGTGCTCAGCCCACGCAGGACACACCACCACAGTATGCTCCACCGTGTCCTCGATTAAAGGATAACTAAGCTACTATTGGAGTTCTTGTAGGATGTATTCTTTGACATAATATTGACCTACACATGCTAATCAATAGGTCACATTAGCTTTCACTTTGGGGGTAAAAATAGACACAATATTCAAGACAAAACTATAATACAATAGTTTCAGAACTATATTTGGTACATACGACATACAACACCTGTCATATAAATGGCAGGACTTGCTAAATTACTTTAACCTTTTGACCTCCAAACAATGGCTAGACTAGTTTAGTCGTTACAGACAGAAATAGCAACAAAAGCACTATTAGATATATTTATTTTAATCCCAGAGACCTATTTATTATTTTGCCTGTATCTAATGTTCTTGTATTAGGTCCGCCAGACGGTATTAGGTGATCTAAACTTAGGTCTTACTCGAAAAGCAAAGTTAAGACAATGCTTAGAAGTTTTTGTAAATCACACTCGACTGTAATTCGACTTTTACTGAGTGACAAATAAGTTTTCTTGTTGAGGGTAAGACTTGAGTTAAGTTTGAGGGGCTTGTTTTAATTTTTTTTTATGGACTGCCTCGTTGGCGGAGTTGTTACAAGTGCGACTGTCGGGCAAAGAACCTCGGGTTGGGAAAAATTTTACTGGGTTTTTAAAAAATTCTCAGCAGTATAACGGTACGGTCTGAAATTGTGTCCGGTATATGGCAATAAGCTCACCTCCTATTACATGGAACTCATAACATAAATATTGAAAAGTTACATTGTACAGTGGCATTAAGTGCTGTAATGTGCACCTCTGCCTACCTCTTCGGGGATAAAAAGCGCGATGTTATATTAGGTATGTTAGTTTTTTTTACAGACAGATTTTTTTCTTATGAAAGTCAAGATTGTCCATCAGTCAGACAAGTCAAAAAACCAGAGGTCATAAAAGTGAGCACTACAGAGGTACTTAAAAATGAAATATTTTTGCCGTTTACGGTTATCATTTCATTATTACTTCTTAAGTTACCGAAGCACATCTTTGCCTTAACTTTCATGTATTGTAGGTCGTAACATCAAAAATAATATCCTGAGCTGCGGTGCCCTAAAGTGTCACGTTTCTGACATATTTTCAGAGTAAATTCGCTAAAAATGAACCATAAAAACAAGTTTTTTCATATAATGGTTTTGACTTGTACCATCTGTACATATTGTTGAGTCAGAACTACATACATACAAAATAAATAACAATGCGTAATAACATGAACTTTTACTGTCATAAGGAGTAAATAGAGTAAAACATAGTAATATATGCACTGTAAGCCCTACTTTCGCTAATTACGAGTTCTATACAATAGTCAACTCTATTGCAATACTTAAAGTAAGTCCAATTTCAGACACCGTGCACAAAATTTTTCTCAAAATGTACCTTAAAATTTTACCAAATTTGAGATTTAGCTCAGCAATCATACCTACGACTACGACCATTTGATGAACGAGACAGTTACTTTTTTCGGGGGTAGAATCATCCAATGCCTTCTCCCGCCTTAAGTGAGAGTGTGTCCGACTCATACTGACTGAAAACCATCCTGTGTCTACTCCTGATTTGACTCGGAACTCCGGTAACCCGTTAGGTTTACCGCAGCTCCGGGTACCATACAGTTAATAAAAGAACAATGAAAATGGGAGTGGAATATGTATATATTTTATTTTATGTTATATATTTGTTTACGTATATGTAGGTATGTAGATGTCCCATACTTATTTGTCTACTGTTCGTTGTGGTATATACATAATCCACTTCTTCATTGTAATACTTCTTCATTATACTTAATTAGTATATATTGTGTGATACGTATAATTATATATACACCTACATATAATTTTATGTTAAAAAAATCACAACAATGTTAAACTTTTACACTTACTATTGTGTCTCTCTGCATCTATTTATTTATTTATTTATTTATTTATTTATCAAGGACAACAAACAGCAGTATATTGAATATAACACGGGTGAGTAAAATAATAGATTTAACAAATACACTCCTCACGACGTTGCCACGGATTACCATAAATCTACTTAGCAAACACAATGGGGCAAACTTGAAGCTACAAACTATACAAACATAGGATACATATAAATTACAGAATTACTTTTTACCTGTACCTACCTATTACATATTTTTACCTACCTATATATTATATTTTTTTGTGCACTATATGAATGTGAAACACAAATAACATGTAAAAAAAAAATTAAAATTAAAAAGTCTGGAGTCTATTAATACTATTAATATAGTAGTTTTATAGTGGTTGTTCTTTTAAAATGTTAATGATTCGTTGTCGAAAAGTGTTCCTGCTTAGAAATAAAATATCAATTGATGCAAACCTTTTACCCTAAGTGAGACTGTTAGAGTATGCCACTAGGCATTAAGTCCGCCATTGTATACCCATTGTGCAAAAGTGTAAATAAATATAACGGATGTGTACACACTTCACACTACACAAAACCAGTGAGATAATTTAAAGAGGGACCATGATAAACTGATGTGTAGCGATGTGTAACAGAATACACACCTGCCTATATCTCAAGCGACAACCGTAATATTTAACATTAGCTAAACTCTCATATCCTCATTTACATTTGTAGGTATATCATTAAGAATAGGCTTGAGGTAAGTACGGCTATTCATCACACTTCCCTAGAGAACAAGTACCGACGTACAGAGGTATTATGTATATAGTAGTATATTATGTATATAAGTATTAGATTCTGTCAGAGGGTTCGTGCGCTTTCCAGAGATAAAAGTTGGGATGTGAAAATACCAGTAGCTAAAATTTTAAAACCAAAGTCAGAGTCAAAGCATTTATTTCAATTAAACCATAATTTGGTACTGAAACGTCAACAAATACAAAATAAATAATAGTATGTCAGTCAGTCCTTCAGTGGAGCTTGGTGAAGCTAGGTGCTCGATCCAAAATTTAGATTCGAATGGAGAAGAACGAGCAAGAAAGTCCATTCGTTACTCTTTAAAAAAGTATGCTCTACAATGTCTCCGATACATATTCCAATACTGTACGTATATGTGAGAACAATGCAAATACACGCTTGATGCATTATACTAATTACAAAACTTACTAAAATAAAAAAAAAAAACAAAACAAAAAAAATCTTATAGTCTAACATGGTGCTCACATATGCATACTGACAATCCATAGAAATAGTGCTTCTATACAAGAAAAAGGAAACTATTTGTTTCAATAAAGAAAGAAATGCTTATGAAATTAAAGAAACGACGATTTCGTGAGACATACTAAATTAATTATTATGTTTTCTTTACCAATGTTAAGCAGTATTAACCAGTAGCTTTATTGCGGGAAAGAGTATCGTAACTAGCATACATGTTCCACCTATATTTCTCATTTCACTAACATGTAGTAAACCGAATATAGGTACCAGGTCAATAGATCAGTGGTTAAAATAACACCTGGACGCGCTCTCGCATACCTCGATGAATTAAATACATAGTATTCTGAAATACTATGTTTAAGTGCGAAAACGCAGTTATAACACAGGAGAATATTGTAGGGCTATTTTAAAGACATGCATAAATAAATAAACCTCAATTTATAATTGTGTGAGAAGGAATAACTGGGTTATTTAAATTATTAAGCTCTCCCTTATTTTTATTTACACGGAATATAAACTTAACCTCTGAACTGTCGGACCGGCAGTGCCGGTATAGAAGACACAATAGAAAATATACGACGGGCTAAATAACAGTTATACATTTGGTAAATCTGAGAACGTAATATAAAAAGATTGTAAAACTGTACAAAAATAAAACGTGTTTGCTGACCGCAAAATAGAATAAAATTATAGTGGTGGCAAACGCAGCTCTATATGGTTGTGTGTTAGCGCGATAGAAACATGGCGAATATAGAAATTAATAATATAAGTGTTAGTGGTAATATCGAGAGATCCTACAATGATAGTATTTTTAAATATAGTGTTGACAGCTCTAGTGAATATAATAACTTACTCAACAATAACTTCATGGATGACAGTGTATATGAAAATGAAGCATCTAGTGATTATGATGGTTTTATTTTAAGTCCAGAAACTGAATTAATGCAACATATCGTGACATGGATACTCTTCCTACTCACA